AAAGTTGCTTTATGCATTTCGTGTTAAAATAATACCCATTACGATCCATAATCCTTTTCATCTTAGTTTTCCAACATGATTTTCTAATGCCAAGAAAAGGTGACAATCAAATAGCAAAATATAACCGGAGGAGGTGATGGGGAAGTAGCCCCTTTCCACCATGAGGAAGTTTTGTAACACAAACACTTGCGTTGTTTCGCAAGAATGCAACTTTATCCCACCTGATTGACCAATCCCGACTGGTACAAAAATGTGCTTTCTTTCAATTTTCAGCCGTAATTTTTGTTTGGCCTCCATTAGGCTAGACAATGCGGGATAGGCAGATAAGCCTACAGTTCATTACCCACAAAGCAAGTGGTCTTCTTTAATTAAGTGGTGTTTGCCTTAGGTGTGGAAGGAGGGGTAGTGAGTGAATCGTTTCGGGATGACCCATGGCGTTTGTTTGCTTAACAAATGTTACAATGCAAAAGCCATTTTGCATCACAAATCAGTCACCAAACAATCTGAAACACACAATAATTTCCCACAACTCAGGTGAAAGGGGTGAAGGATAGATTCATAGTCTTTGAACCTTATTGGCGTCTGTTAACGTTTGTCGAGGGTTACCTGTTTGCCTCGTAGCATTCACATCTTTAGGGTTAACGTGAACGCAACAATTTACTATTACAAAGCACCCGAAGTCGTCTCTGGAGACCTAACAAGACTTACTAGTACGAAAGGAGACTTACTACTAAGATATGATAAGACAGATAAACTGTTAACACGACCGGAACGCCGTCCCACCAGGATGGTGACAGAAGCCTTCAAACAAGCATTTCTATTGCATGATACAGTTACCACCAGGCATGTGTTGCTATGGTTCCACTAGACAAAGTTTCCTCCTTCAATGCAACGCGCAAATGACATTCTGAAACGGATTAACGAGACAGAACAATTCACCGATGTTATAGTGTCCTCTGTTATTTGTAGCTAAAACCGCGAACCTGAAATGTTTAACACTTAAAGTCAGCGTCTGTACATTAGTTATGTACATACTGTTACGGTATCAGAAATACAGAAGCTCGAAACCCGTTTTAGAACTACTAAAATTGTAGGTATTATTCCTAGCCTTTCTTCAAAACATGCATGAAGCGAATAGAGCATTAGCCCTACATCGTGTCAGTTGTTTAAAGCCCACGAAGCACTCCCATTATTGGCATGGCCACTGGCCAAAACTACACCAGGTGCAATTAACTCTCAATGCGAATAGACCCACCCAAGTGTTATCTGATGCTGATAGTCCATCTCGTGCTATTCCAGACAAGTCGTGTTGATGGTCTGTGTGCGATTTGCGTATTTTAAGGGAGCAAAGGGCATGACGAATGGCTGTTTCTGCGACTACACGCTCGCCTTTAACGCAATCACAGGTTAGAATCTTACTACCCGAATAAAGGGCTTGAAGTTTTGTGCGTCTATCTAAATCTGATAGCAAAGTGTGCGAGCATTGATGTGCTTTGTAGCTGGCCTTAAATAAGGCTAAACGCCTAAATTCCCTTCTGAAGGGCGTCAATTTGGGCTAATAAAATTGGCCGAATGAGTAGTATTCAAAATATCAGGAAATTTGTGGGTTGTTCCACTTTATTTAATGAAAGTCTAATCGTGTTTTTTAGTTGAAGTGTTATCCCAAAACAGTACAGCTGTTTGGATAACCATAAAACCGCTTCTTTTTACTTCAGGGATCTCTTCTAGTGCTGAACCGCGAATCAGCAAACATATTGCGGCAGATGTGTTAACCTTGATATGCGATCCTGGACCCTGGAATTTATCTTAATTGACATTTGTATTGCGATGATGTTTGCTTCAACCCTTTAAGACCTTTGTGAATGGTCACCACATCAGTGGCATGAAGCTCTGTCCGTGCCACCTATGCCTCATATTTCTCCCAAACCCTACTATATGACGATGGCAAAGCCGTCATCCATAAAGTCTTTAGGGGTAAGGTGATTGGAACAAAACTATCCACTTTTTGTTTAAAGCAATAAGCATGGTGAATGATTAACCGTGAGCCAAAAAAGCCGAATAACTAGGTTTGATAATTCTTAGGATTACATGCATTGATTCCATGAGAAATCCTTTAGGAAATCGGCTCAGTGCTTTACAGCATCTCTTTATCGTCGGACAAAAGAACATTATAAATGTTTACTTCCTAACATTCGTAGTGTTAAGACAGTGAAATACTTTAACGTTTGTTTGGCGCGTTGATTTGGTTACCCGGGCATTGAATGACATGACCGTTGTGCTTCCACCCAGCGACATGGCTTTCAGGTCAGGCCAGTAGTCTCCTAGCCTTCTGCACATCACCAATACACTTCCTGTCCTAGGATTTTGTGATTTCGTTCTTCTGCTACATTAGTGAAAGTGGATTGTGTATTGTGCCCCGATTTCCACCGACGAATGAAAAACCTTAACGAGGTGGAAGAAGGGCATTTGCTGTGGATAGAATAATCAATGTCGACCCTTGACAGAAGGCTCAAAAATAACGTCTACTTTGGCAAGTATTCTAGTCCTGTGGTCTTCTGGAATGCTGTTAACAGCCCAAGCGACACTAACCGTGGCCGTGAACCATCTAAAAATGTTCATTATGTCTATGCTATTTGCATGAAGCTGTCAATTGGAGAACAAGTGATACCTCCACACGGATGTAGTAGGGTAGCAGTGAAGTAAAAAAGTATTAAGGAGGGGTAGACGCGAGATCGTATCCCAACGAAACTGTCTAAAACCCCGTCTCTTACTAAATGACTGCTCTTAGGTCAGTGATCTTACGACTTATGATACATATATATATACATATATATATGCCTGCATATTCCCCCTTCACCCAATGCAGATATCAAAAAGGACGGAATTTTAGATCCAGCAGAAATACTGAGAGGGATCAGCAGCATTGTAGCCAAATATCTTCTCAGTTGTACGCAAATTTAGTATCTGGTGTCGTTGGTTGATGGATGCTTTTCGTACAGTACAGTCTACTTCGTGGCAGATGACGCAGGAAGTTGACAAAATTGAGCACCAGGAACGACTCGAAAAAGGAGAAGGGACTATACTATAATTTGGTTGATTATTTGACTCCTCATTTTTGTTACACAAGCACTTAAATTGCCGTGGTTGTACTTCTGCTGGGCGGCATGGCCTTCGGTCCGTGGTAGAAGCCCCTCAGCCCTTCTGTACTGCGGCATTACCTTATTTTTACTCCAGGAATGACTAAAAGCACTATAACAGAACCTTAGATAAAATTGAATTCCTTTAAATATAACAAATATCATTATGTTTACAAGCACGATAGGTTAAAACACTCTAAGCACTTATTTTGTGATTTTTCCGCTTGCCTACTTCTTCACAATACCATTAATCATCTCGCTCAGAGGTAATCCCTCTAGTCGAGTATTTCATGGAGGTTTTTGAAACCACGGTTGAACTGGTTTAAAAATTTGTATGATTTTTTGATACAAGTTCCGTCTCAAAAGAATGACAGTGCAGATGTGGCGATAAACACCTAGATTCGGATAACTGATACTAGGTTGGGTGCTGAAAATCATTTACAGCATTTACATCGTCAAATTTGGTCTTGCTTAATTCAAGCAAAACTCAGATTACATGGCCAAAATTCTGCATGTCTATGTGCTTACTTTCATCCTTGTTTTGCTTTCCTTAAAAACTGGATGCAACTCAGATGAAGGAATGGCATTATGGTGATGGTGTTCTCAGCGCCAGTACTCCCGGAAGAGTTTCACACAGGAGATATGAAGCGTTGTCTATTTCACTGGTGCTACTAACCTTCCGCCCCTTCTGTTATTTCGCAATGAAATTTCTTCCACATCTTTAGGAGCAACTTTGAGCCTTCACAATGAAAAAGGTGTTCTTTTTAACTCGTTGCTGCATGTTCCGACGTATGCTAATAACGGCTGATAAGTTTACCTTTCATTAAAATACAGCTTGTGAACTTCTGATGTAAATAGGACTTTAGAAGTAAAGCATTTTTTTCTTAAAAAGTGGAACAGCTTTGGCATGGGCGATATTAAAAGTTGGTTTTTATACTCGAATACATTTCCATTTTCCTATTTCCTTTCAAGGAGATTGGTTCAGAGCAACTAAACTTATAAAAGAATAAAATAATGCCTAAAAAACATTCATTTAAAAAAGGAAAATTACAAGGTTTTAGCACCTTAGATCATTCCTGACGTCATGAGAAGTAAAAATACTAGCTCAGAAAATATACTGCCGACCCATAGAAGGATTAAAGGGCTACTGTTGTAACCCGGACGCCATGCCTCCCATAGGAAGTACACAGTCCGAGCCTTAAGTGCCCATGAAACTAAAAAGATGAGCAAAACAAATAATCGAAGTCCTACATTGGTTTCTCCAATTAAGCCTCCTTTCTGGAGCTCACCTTGGTTAACCTCCTACCTCGGCCACTACAACAAAATTGCTAATGAATGAGAGAACTTACGAACCAACCGCACCAGTCATCGAGTCTGTGTGCAACTGAGAAGATGAATGAATACAACGTGGCCAATCCCTCAACGGCGATTTAAATAGGTCTGATATTTTGTCCTCTTTAGGAACTACAATGGGGGAAGCGGCAATGTACTGACCAACTGGTACGCCCATCACCGACCCTAAGAGCCCAGTCTTAAAAGGAGAGTTTCTTGGAAATAAGGTTTCACGTTAACTTTGCTTTGCTACTTTGTATCCACTTCAGTGCCGCTCAGCCATACCTGCTTGGGTTCCATCCAGCTAGTAGGGAGGCGGAGGAGGTACCGCGTTTTCACTTCATTGTCATCTTCATATAGGTACCGTAGGTAATTCCCTAACGAACTTTTCCAGATTTTTCAAGGTCAGAGTTAGTGTTCCTTCAGTTGTTAATATCGTTCCTTCAGAAAACGGGACTGGGGTGGTTACCGAAGACAGACTTCATTTTATAGCCTTCTGTAATGGGTCGCAGCGAATTCGCCTATTTGACTGAATGTCACATTTCTGATAACAAATGTTATGTTGTTAGTGTTTGTTTTAGGAATGCAAAATGAACTGTTAAGAATTCGTTATTGCAAGCCAAAAGAGAGGATTTGAAGGAACTCACAGATTATATTGCAGTGACTAGAAGAATCGAGGGTGTGAGATATTATACTAAATAAATGGATTTTAATAGGGCCAATTGGGTCTCCTGGTAAAAAAATGTGAACTAACACAAAGTGTAAAGTAAAGGAAACTAAAAGTAGCCTATTCCAAAAAAAATCATCAAATAAATTCCATTTAATCGAGGCCATCGTATTAACGAGAAGTAGTGGGGAGTCAGTCAATTAAGAGATTATTTAAATTCACGAGGATTAGATACTGGATTTTACTATCCCTCAAAATGTCAACATCCACACTCTCACACCAGTACGGTCCATCGTATTGTATCCCTGCTAATCAGCTTCTGCAATCTTGCCCTCAAGACGTCATAACAGTGATTCATTGTCCTTTTAGAAGTTGGATAGCGTGAGAATCTGGGCCCTACGCTCCTCCCTCTCCCGCCTCTCCCCTGTCCTCCCCAGAACTTGTTGAGTAGACGCTGTTGTATCAGTTCCCCAGGCTTAAATCCCTGAAATCGGAGGGAAGTGGCCAAAAGAGAGTGAAGTCTACTACATTTTTCTCCAGTGGAGAACAAAGACTCCAATTGTTCTGCTGCTTGCAGCCACAAAAAAAGACGACAAGAGAGGTAACGGGAAGTGGGCAAGTGCCAGAGGCTCAAATGCCACCCGAGGGTGGTCAGGACTGGGTGAGCTAGCCTTTGATGAAGAGACACTCACTAAGCTCAGTAAAGTCATATTTTTTGACCTCTTGAATAATTAAGGAAATACTACAACTTATGGTCGGCTTAAAAAGTCGGTCACTTTCTAGGTGGGGCGTCCGCAAAAGCATTATGTACCCAGGGTTTTATTAAACCCACTTTTTTCAGTGATTGCAAGTTGAAACTTCTAAATCAACTTTTATTAGATCTAGTCGCATTTATTGTCATCAACCAAGGGTTGTGTTTTAGGTTGGATATTAATGGATAAAATTCTGTGCTATTCTTCCTTCACATGTTAAAAAAATTGGGTAGGTGAAATCGACAGGTTTTTTAATCATAGCAGGTATTTTTGAAGTTCTATTTTTCAAATAAAAGGGAATTATCCCTTAGAATCATTATAGCAGGACAGTATTCTTATAGTACTTAAAATAAGAGTAAAGTAGAGGCCCACCAGTTTTCTTGCTTGGCGTAAGTTATTGAATGAGATTGTTAGGGGAAATTTTTCATTGCAGTGATGGACGGCTTCGTAAGGTCGTCAACTTCCGCATCATCCATATTTTTCAATGCGTATTTCATGGTTTTCACCTTTATTTATTTTTAAACTGGAACCTTAGTCCACCATGCCATAATCATTGAAGCGGCTGTGGATGGGACTGGTAGCATTTTATGTACTTTAATCCACTGTGATTTCTGTGCAATTTTTGTGCAGATATGTAATGCTTTAAATATCTGTCTAACTTTTTTGTCTTGGTAACGCGAGTATTGAAGGGTACGAGTGTTGAAGTATCACGAACTCCGAGTTTTGCCAGTAGCAACCCAGCCCTTCTGTATGTCGATAATACGCATTCCTTCTTAGTATTAAGTCTTCTTTCGTTTTGGGGGGAAGTCTCTGGGCTCTATATTAATGACAACGAAGAGCAAACCAAATCCTAAAGGACAACCAACTCCATTTCCCTTACGGCAAAATAAATACAAACGTAGCGTAAGAAGGGCATATGCTGTGGATGTGAGAATCTGTGATGGCGCCTAAAAGGGGGATTACGAATGACGTCTACCTTTGGCAACTACCCCGACTCCGAGTCCCCACCGAAAGCAGTTAACTAGGGAAGTGGTAAACACCGTGAACCGTTTAGAATAATTCATTACAAAGCTGTCTACGGTACCTGTATGAAGATGGCATTTAAGTGAACCCGCGATGCCTCCACCACCTCTCTCCCAACTGCGTAGAACCTAGAGAGATACTGCTTGGTAGCAATGATGTGAAAAAAAGTGGCAAGGAGGAACAGACAGGAATCCTCATCTTCACGAAACTATTTTAATTGACTGCTTTTAGACCAGCGTTGTTATGCCGAGGGATGGACATACACGCGAAGTGACCAGCTTCCCACAATACAGCTCTCAATCAGGATGAAACTCCAGATTCGTTGGAATGGCGGAGAAGAATCAGTAGCATTGCTGTCAGAAATCTTCTCGGTTATACACAAATAGGATGACTGGCGCGGTTGTTTTGTGAAGGCGATTCTTTCAGTACTGACTACGTCGAATTGGCCGACGGAGGAGATTGACCAAGAGGAGCGCAGGGGATGGAGTTCCTAAGGTGAGAATGGCTATGTAGCACTTTGTTCAAATTTTCATTTTAATTTTACGTACACTGAAAGACAAGGTCATTTTGCTTCCGTTGGGCAGCATGGCCTCCGATCCATACCAGTAGTCCTTCTGTCCTTCTCTACAGCGATAGTACATATTATACTCTAGCACTATTCCTTCAGAGTGGTCTCGGAGGGATGCCGTAGTTAATTCTGTAAATACCTTAGCCAGGTTTCAAAGCAAGCCTTAAAAACATTTGTCCTCATCTTTTTTTAAGACAACAGAATAAGTAGAAAATTTTCAGTAAAAATTTTACGCATCAATGCGCGCATTGATGTGGACTTATTGCATCGATGAGACCTTAAAGAGACTCGAGTCTTTCTTGAAGGCGAAAGAGGGTATAAGCCCAGGGCATAATATGTGTTTCCGACGTAGAGAAAGGCTGGGAGCCACCGACGTGGCGGAAGTTCACCAATGGTGCCTTAAGTGTAGACACACACAATGGAGGCAAATGTCATTCGGATACACTATATTAGATCATTAGGTGTCACATTCTTGAGCCAGTCTCTCTCAAATACTTTAATTTTCATTCCTCTGCTTTTTCTGCTCTTGTGAGAAGTCATCACTAGTATTTTAAGCCATTTTTAATCAGCATTTTTAAATACGCTATTTAGAGCTAATATTTTTTGTAAAGATAAGTCAGCTTATTTCTGCTAAGCATGCGATAATGGTTGGAGGGAAAATGATTGGCACTCATAAATATGAGTCAGGAAATCTTTGCTTTTGATAGCAGACCAGCAAAGATTTATAGATAGTTAAACATGAAGATCGCTACAATTATTCTATGCACTGTCTTCCGCAGTGCACATATTAGTTGGCGCTATTCAAATAACATGCAAATATCAATGGTGGAGGCCACGCCACCCGGCAGAAATACAATATCCGAACTTTAAGTGTCTTGGAAACCAAAACGAATAGTCAAACTAATAATCAAAGTATTATCCAGCCCCCTTCTCCTTTTGAACAGTATCCACGACGCTCGTCTTGGTCATGCATCCCTATCGACCATCACAACGTAGTCAATGCTGCACGAAAATCACCCCATTATCAACCGCGCCAATCATCAAATTCGAATGTAACCTAGAAGATATTTGACTGTAACATCACGGATTCCTCTTGGTAATTCCATTAGATCCTGTGTTTCAACTTGTTTAAGAATTAAATGGGGGGAAAGGGAAATGTGCTGACCATCTTAGTTGTGCATCGTTTGCCGTAAGAACACTGGCCTAAAAGATAAGTTATTTAGTAAAGGACGGGGCTCAAAATAACTTCGTGTGGATGCGGTTTTGGGCCTCTTTCACCTTGCCACTTTGTTCTCATTTAAGTGTGCTGAGAGACATTTGTGTCTGGGTTCTATCCAGCTAGTAGAAATTTGAAGGAGGTATCATGCGCTTACTTCTTGACATATTCATGCGGGTACAGTAGATAGCTCCCTAAAGAACTTTTCCCGATAATTCATGGCTGCAGCTAGAGTTGAGAATAGCAGTCCTGTGGAACACGAACCTGAAGTAGTTGTTAAAGTAGACGTCATTTTAGCGCTTTTGTTAGGGGTCGTCACAGATGTTCCCATCCACTGCTGATGCCTTTCTTTCACCATATTTAAAGCCTAGCATTCGGGAACGGAAATCAAGGCGGGTGTTCTTTGGAATCGGGTTCGCTTTTGGCGCCTACAAATGCAGCACCATGAGTCTTTCCCCAAGGTCGAAGGAAGTCGAAATACCAGAACAGAAAATGCATTGCTGACATGCAGAACGGCTGAGGAGCTACTAACATGGCCGGGAAGCCATGCTGCTTAGAAGAAGCACAAAGGCAGAGTCTTACGTGCGCGCAAAATCAGAGTTGGGAAGTAATCAAAGCACTATATTCATACATCTGAAATATTGAATCTTCCTCTTTTTGACTTCATCCATTTGTGTTAAACGCTGAATTAATAATGCGAAATATTTTGCTAACCAATTTTTCAATTAAAAAGCGGTGATTTGGTAGATATCCACTCTCTCAAAGGACTTTGATTAAAATTGCGACATTTAAACGCAGTATCTAACAAATTTATTTGGTCTCATTACGTTAGATTTTTTTCTGGCGTTAGCCATCATAGACCTTTCAATGTATTTTGGCTTGCCAAAGCACTAAACTCGACATCCAGTAATCGTGATCTACTGGAATGTGGTTTCAACCACCATAGCAAAAGCAAGTAGCCTATTTAGCTGAATTTTCAGTGAGTAGAACAGCAACGGGTGTGGAAAAGTCTACCTGGTGAATTGACTGACTTTTGAAATTGTCATAGCACTGATTGGGTGATAGGTAGAATGACACGATTACTCACACTTCAGGCGCGATAGGTGGTTGATCATGCTAGAAAACTGTAAGAAAACGTAGATGAAAATTAAGTAGAGGCATCATTAATGACAGGTTTATACAATCTTGGCTCCACTGGTGATCGAAATACTCATGTCAACGTGAGTGGGACAAGCAAATTTACCACCGATGCCCAGGTGTCATGGAAGACTAGTGTTGTAGGTGGCATGGGCGGAGCTGCCTGTCATCATCATTGTTGGGGTTAAATTGTCAAAGTTTCGAAGGGCGTACGTAAACCCAATTGCAGTCAAAGTAGGCCTTCATCTTGTAGTGAGGTAGACAGAAATGAAGATGGTATGATGAATTTGCACTTTGGAGACAACAATCCTTACTTCACTATTCGTTGTGTCAAGCAAACATTTAAACCCTGTCCTCTCCGTTTTAACATAATGTTGGAGTATTTTATGAAGCTGCACGGCAACGAATTTTAAGCACATTTTTGCGATCTAGAGAGAGTTACCAAAAGTAGACACCATCGAGATTACGATGCGAATCCTGCCAGCATTATTTTCATTGAAAATTTTATACTTTAAGACAACGGAAGCAACACATAAGTCCAATTTGTAACTGTCCACTCTTTGACTTATTTATTGACATTCAGACGGAGAGGATGTGAAGATAGAGGTACTGAAAACTTATCCATTTGCCATCTCCCCTTCTCTCCCTCCCGCCTTCCTCCCTCTGTGGAAGAGGAGTGAGGTGGAAGGATGCCAGATGGTACTCCAGGCTCGGCATGTGTTTGAGCTCCTCCACCTCCTACGATAGCTCCAGTGCCACTTTGTCCACCGTGGCGCTTATCAACATGCTGATGGGCGTGACAGGTGGCCCATTACAGAGTGTGAGATCGTGTGTATTAATTTATTAAGTAAATCTGTATCACGGTCTCCTCCAAATCTGCCTTTTAAAGCTTGAAAATCATAAAATTCTATCATTATCTTTATTTGATCACGAATGAGAGCAGGACTTAACACGCATGCTATTAGCGTTGCATATACGTGACACCCATAGTTTCTACCTAATCCCGGCCTTACAAACATACTATGCGTGTTTTTATCACTTTAGAGTAGTTTTGAGTGCTTCAGATCATGCTGTAAATTGACTTATTACTGTGAAAGCAAGTAGGTAAGTGTAGGGTGCTTTTGATCTAAGGTCCCTTACAATTCTGCAGTTTTTGGGCAGCAGCTAAATCGGCCATTAGGGTAGTGGAAGCTTTTGTGTCATGACAGAATATCAAAATATCGGGACTGAGTTAGCACATTTTTTTCCCATACACCCCGGTAGTAAAAATTTTAACCAGCGTATGCTCAGAAGCAAACGTTAAATGGAGAAATGTTGAAGGCAAGGAAGATGAGGCTCATCATCATAAAACCATGGTGGCTGTTGAGGTTGAACTTCATTTCCCATGCTTGTGATCTCTAACAAGATGGAACGCATTGACACTAGCCCCCTTTTATTGATGTTTGAAAGTACGGGTGCTAGGTAGGGTAGAGTCATGTCATTGGTACCAGACCTAAAAGCAACCAAATCATGGGTAGGCTGTTATGACAGCCGTGACCGTAGAAGTTTAATGAATGCATTGGATGATAGATAAGGAGTTTATCAGTCTCAGCATAAATTTTCAAAGCGGATTTGCACCAAAGTGTGGAATGTCCAAAGACTTTTTCGGCGTGTAATGCGGATGTGAATGTGGACGACATGTGAATGGTAAGTGGAAAGTTGCCTTTTTAAGAATACACATCCTGTCGTATAAGTAACTTTTCCTGATAACACAATTCAGACATTCGAGCCAGAAAGAGGCCCCGGAGACCAGGAGCGTAGGTGGCAGGGGAAGAGCTCCATGTCTTCACCATGGAGATCGTATCGAAGGAAACTGAAGGGGCACAAGAGACCGAATATCCAACTAAAAGCTATCTCTTGGGTATGTTATCCTCATGATACAATATTAAACACCGGCCTTTATTAAATGACTCTACCTTGGGATCAGTGCTCTTACGTTTACCGATGGACGTACGAGATGGCTAGCAAATAGGACGAAACTCCAGATCCAGTGGAATCGCCAAGAGGGAGCAGTGACGTTACGGTCAAATACCTCCGTTGCACGCAAATTCGATTACTGACATGGATGTCTTGTGGGTGTTTTCCTTACTGCACCAACTGCTTTGTGGTGGCCGAGGTGGGAGGTTGACCAAGGAGAGCGCCGAGGAGGATGTTAAAAAGAGAGGGAGCTAGTTGATGCTTTGGTTGCTTGTTTACCTCTGTTATTTTATAACTCCTCTGGGCGGCATTGGTCTCCGCGTCATGCCAGCAGCCTCCTAGCCCTTCTGCACGTCGACAGTGCATTTATGCCCTAGCGTTGTGGCTTCTTCCATCTTCAAAGAGGACTCGGGGCGATGATTTAATACAAAGATGGTAGAATTAATTTCCATTCACTTTGCCTTACAGTTGAATTAAGTAGCATCTACCTTTTCCTTCAAAAAATGAGAATATAATAATAAATCTTAGGGACAGAATGAGTGGAGATTTGCAGATTATGAATGTATTCATAGAACAGAAAAAGTGAAGTAGTTGTTAGTAGCTAAAATTTGGTATCAAGCAACGGGCTCCGATCAGCACTGCCATCAGCGTCTGTGGACTGGCACGGCAGCCATCGTGCCATCACGATAAATGCTGCTGTTGCAAATCTAAACACACAAGTAAACTAATCAAACACACGGAACGAGAAGATCAAGAAAGTCTTG